TACATGATACTTTTTAAGCACACACAGACATTTATTTTATCTGTCAGATTACAGTGAGTTTCCCCTGATGAATAATAACCGGTACTGTACTTAAGTCTGTGAATAATAACATCATTACAGAAGCCAGGCAATGCTGCAGGTAACCACAAAACACAAGAACCTCAGGAATAGATGGATAGATTTAGAACTTACTGTAATTAAAGTCTGGTCATTATTTATGGAGAGAGGAAGTTTTTAAGTCCTGTCTATGGCAGTGCAATGTTTTAATTAACCTTTGGCAGATTTATATTCATAAGGATACAATCCAGAACTTCCAGTTTTGCAGAGTTTGTGCCTGGACATACTCTCTGAACTTCTGCCTCATGTGGTCAAAGCGCTGCCGTGTGATGGGCACACCAGTGGCTGGCAGCTGCTGCTGACAGGCACTGGATGAGCAGATATGTCCTCATGTTAAGAAAAACATCAAACCAGTCTACACAGTGCTGACCATACAAGTACTAACACACACACACACACACACACACACACACACACACACACACACACACACACACACACAGTATGCTGAAGTCAGGCCTTGCTAAAAGTCTCACTTGATGGCAGAGTTGAGGAGCTGGATCTCTTCTCTGAGTTTCTGAGCCTCCTCATGGAGCTGAGCTCTCTCCTGCTGCATCTTACTGATGTACTCAGCCGTCTTCTGCAGTGTAGTAGCTTTGCTGATCTGCACCAGCAGACAGAGGAATTACCACGTCAGCTAAACACGACAATTATTCACACATACTCAATAGTGCTGTGTTTTTTTGTAGTTGGCCTTATTAACAACAATGATGAGACCAACTACAAGAGTGAGCTGTGCCAACTGGTCCAGTGGTGTAAGAACAATAACCTCTCCTTCAATGTGGGGAAGACTAAAGAGACTGTTGTAGACTTCAGGAGAAAACCTCTAAAGCATCCCCCACTGACCATCGACAGTGCTGTAGTAGAGAGAGTGAGCAGCACCAAGTTCCTGCAGAAGGACTTTATAACGCATAATGAACACAGCCCGTAAGATCATCGGCACCCCTCTGCCTTTCCTCACGGACAACTTTAACACCCGCAGAGCCATCAGCATTGCTGATGACACTGACTGCTGATGACACCTCGCCCCCCTCACACTCTCCCACTTCAGACTCCTGCCTTCAGGGAGAACCCTAACCCTATCCTAAGTACTTTGATTTAGTTTTCTTATTCTTTTTTATTCTATTTTTACTCTACTTTTATTCTATTTTAGTTTCCTAAATGGTAATGGCATTCAATACTAGGTGAGAGAGAAATGGTATTTCAATTTTCTGTATGTCCTGCACATGTAGTGAATTGACAATAAAAATCTTTGATCTTTGAGCTTGATCTTGTTTTTTTATGTTTCAATTACATGTCACATTTTCATAGTCTTCCACTTAAAGTTTGTATCAGTTCAGCTGCTCTTCAGTGACGCTCTTTGCCTCCACCTGTCAACACATCTATCTCTAATGCACATCTTTTCACAGTACCTTTATGCTTGGCTGAGAGCTGAGTGTTGTCACAAGGTTATGTAAAGTGTCAAATCCCAGCTTGATGTTGAAACGCCTTTTCTGCTCTGCTGAGATGTGAATTATTCTCTTGGTCTGTGTTTGCTGCAGATAACAGTTAAGAAACATATACTTCAGAATGAGAAAGACCTGCTGGGTCAGCAATCATTTTACTATTTATTTAGTACTCAACAAGGTCTTAATTTGTATTTTTAAAAGGTATTCAGTGCCATTCTATAGTATTTGAAAACACAGATGTTTATAAATGAAACAGTATGTCCTACCTTACTTGATTCTATCTTTCCATGTCCTGAGAAGCCTGAGTGTAGGGATTCAGGGTTGGAGGCTTTGTCTAAAGGGTGTTGTGGTGATGTCTGGTGTGGATGTCCTGGAAATAAAATAAACAAAGATAACAATATCTAATCATTATATTTGCGGGGAAATTGGATGACCTCTACATGTACACATGCTCCCATGCACAAATCAGTTATTTACAGTACATCATATTGTAGTTTATTGGAGGTCACTGGTGTCCTTCAGCCACAGCAGTCTGCTTATAGCACAATAACTGCTGTGGCTGCTGTTGTGGATGACATTGTTAATTCATATGATGAAAACATCATTGTGTTGCACACTTTGTAGATCTGTCTAAGGCTTTTTTGTTTTTTGATCACAAAAATGAATGTCACTTTCAGCTTTTTCCCCATTAGGGGTCACCACAGGGAATCATGACACTGACGATTTGCATGTTAATATTTGGCACGTGTTTTACGCTGGATGCTCTCCCTAATGCAACCCTGACTTGAACTGCAGCAGCTGGAGGACTGCGCTGTAGCCACTGGTCTATCAGGGATAGACTGCGCTGTAGCCACTGGTCTATGAACCCATGTATGTTACACACAAGAACCGAGGCAGCCATCTGCGGCGCCAGCTCTAACCATTGGGGGCAACAGGAGGGGGTGGGGTTCAGTGTCTTGCCCAAGGACACTTTGACAAGTGGACTGCAGGCACCGAGATTTGAACCTTCAACCTTCTGGTGGGGAGACAGCTGCTCTACCCACCACACCACTGTCGCCTCCCCTCATATACTCTAAATGAAGATGCAACTGACATAGTCCAGCATTACAAATATTTAGGAATCTGGTTAGATATTAGATTGCCCTATAAAACTCATGCTGAACATTTTGCTCTGAAATTAAAAATTCTAGTTGGGTTTTTATATCAAACAAAGCTTCTTTCTCTTTTGAAAGCATACAATCTATTATAGAAGAAAGTCACTTTCGGCTTTTCCTGTTTAGGTGTCACTACAGCGAATCGTCACACTGACGACTCGCATGTTGACATTTGGCACGTGTTTTACACCGGATGCCCTTCCTAACACAGCCCTGAATCGAACCCAGGCCGCAGCAGCGAGAGCACTGCACCTTAACCACTAGCCTACCAGGGATGGCATACAATCTATTATACAATCCAATTATTATTATACAATTATGGAGATATTCTCTATACTCATGTTGCTACCCTTAAACCACTCTTGACCAAATTGTCATCTGTAGTGGCAATTTTTATAATAGCACCCTTTAAGTTCTTTAGCTGATGCTTTCAAGACATGGTATGCAGTTATTTGTGTGGTTGCATGGTCGTAAACCTTTGTATGCCCTTGTGGTTGCCAAACCAGATGTGACCTGGGACCAAAGAGCTGGTATCCTGTTGTAAATTGTATCCTGTTTCCTTTATCTGTTTGAGCATCTGTTTTCTTTGTTGTATGCTGAGTATAAGAAGGGCAGTCACATTCTGTTCACTGAGCTTCCCGGCAACAGACTGGTTTAGCCCCTCTGTTCCTCCTTCCTGCAGGAATAAATATGTAATAACTTTAATAATTGATGTTAAGTATTTATTTTACACTCACTGAGCTTTAAAAGATCATTTTTCCACAACACATCCAATTCATCACACAAAATAGATATCATGAGTTGTATAAAAACATGGGATGTCATCACAGGTCCCGCTATCCAAACTGCCAGGATATTTAACATCCTCCAAGTTCATAACTCATAACTCTGACAAAGGGTTTCAGGAAAGACTGACTTTGAAAGTGCCTCATACCAAAGTGGTTTCACTGCTGGAATGAGCTGCAACACATAGTGAAGTTAGTTATGTCCAGAGCAGTGATTAGTCCAGGGTTTGATTTCAGAGTTTTTTACTTTATTTAACCAACTGATTCAGAAAATTCTACTTCAGCATACTTTCAGCTATTTCAGGTATCAAAATGTTCAGCTCCTCAAGGACATTCATGTTTCTCTTCAAAATGTTTCTAAACTTCATACCTTTGAAATATATAGCTTTATTTTGAAAGTTTTGCCCCATTCAAGTGAATGGGGAAATTGAACACTCAGCATACGTTCAGCTATTTCAGGTATCAAAATGTTCAGCTCCTCAAGGATATTCATGCGTCTCTTCAGGATTTTTGTAAACTTCATACCTTTGAAATATTTAGCTTTATTTTGAAAATCTTGCCACTTGCAAATGAATGGGATAATTCTACTTCAGCATAATTTCAGCTATCAAAATGTTCAGCTCCTCAAGGACATTCATGCTTCTCTTCAGGATTTTTCCAAAACTTATACCTTTGAAATATTTAGCTTTATTTTGAATGTCTTGCCCCATTCAAATGAATGGGTGAAACTCTGCTTCATCATACTTTCAACTATTTCAGGTATCAACATGTTTAGCTCCTCAAAGACATTTGTGCTTCTATGCAGAATTTTTCTAAACTTCATACTTTTGAAATATTTAGCTTTATTTTGAAAATCTTGCCCCATTCAAATGAATGGGATAATTCTTTATCAGCATACTTTCAACTATTTTAGGTATCAAAATGTTCAGCTCTTCAAGGACATTCATGCTTTTATTCAGAATTTTTCTAAACTTCATACAGTTGAAAAATGTAGCTTTATTTTGAAAAATTGTCACAATTTAAATGAATGGGGAAATTCTACTTCAAAATACTTTAAGCTGTTTCAGGTATCAAAATATTCAGCTGTTCAAGGACATTCATGCTTCTCTTCAGGATTTTTCCAAACCTTATACCTTTGAAATATTTAGCTTTATTTTGAAAAATTTGCCCTATTCAAATGAATGGGTGAAATTCTACTTCAGCATACTTTCAGGTATCAAAATGTTCAGCTCTTCAAATACAATCATGCTTCTATTCAGAATTTTTGTAAACTTCATACTTTTGAAATATTAAGCTTTATTTTGATAATCTTGCCCCATTCAAATGAATGGGAAAATTGTATATCAGCAGAATTTAAGTTATCAAAATGTTCAGCTCTTCACTGACATTCATGCTTCTATTCAGAATTCTTCTAAACTTCATACTCTTGAAATATTTAGCTTTATTTTGATAATCTTGCCCCATTCAAATGAATGGGAAAATTCTACTTCAGCATACTTTCAGCTAGCAAAACCATTCAGATGTCAAAATGTTCAACATTTTCAGGGCACTCAGCATCCATATGCATTTCCTTCAGAAAATGCATTTCTCTAGTTGTGTGGATGCTGTAAAGCCTGTTCTTTATTCATTATTATTCTGGGATCTTCCACCCTTTTTTGGGGACTTAATAAGTCCAGCATACTTTCAGCTATACAGGCCATTGAGGTCTTGATCTGTTCAACTCTTCAAGGACATCCCTGCTTGTACTCAACTTTTTTATAACATTTATACTTTTTAATATATTCAGCTTTATATTTTGCAATACAAGTCAATGGGAGTCAATGACACAGTCTTGGAGTGCCATCTGGTGGTTCATGAAATGCAGCGCAATTAAGACATGCCCCAACATAACTCCTCTCTCTTGCTCTCTCCCCCTCCCCCTTTCCCTCTCTATTGCCC